CTTGGATTCAAGTGTATATATTCCTGTAACTTTCTTAACTGCATTTTGATGAATTCACATTATGTATATCTAAGAATTGTCCCAAAATTACCTGTACAGAGATGTCGATATAAACAAATTGATAAATTGTGTAAACACTACAATTTTTAAATATTGTTTAAATTGTATTTGCAATAAACAGACTGGTTGGCCATTACTTTTTTCCCCCCCATGAAAACGTGGTGCAAGTTCAGATCTCTTCTTTAAATTTAGGAAGGTCTAAATTTTCAAAATGCAGTAGTTATCAAAATGTGATCTAGTGTAAGGACAGATCTTTGAGAACCTAGGTGTGTTAATCTTATGTATATAGTGTAAAAATGCCCCCTGTACTGTTAGAAGTCAACAATTCCAGTATGAATTGTTGGCAAAGAGTGCTACACGGTTTCAATGAAACAATGTACGTTTTAACTGAACTAAAATAAATACATGCTTAATCCTGAGCAGCAGTGTTTTCTTTGGGGTAATGGGATCAATGTGTCTGATGTATTTTGTAAGGGCAGCACCTGGCTTTTAGATCCTTATGTTAGTGATAATGAAGAAAAAAGTACTCGGGAAAATTCTGCTTTTTAAGTTCCTAAAACTTATAAATTTACAAAGTGTGAGGAGGACTGAAAAACAGCCATCTCAAGGATCCAGGCTTGGATCTACAGTGAGGAGGCCAATATTGTATCAGAAACTAAAAATCAATATTGTATCAGAAACTAAAAATGCAGCTTTCTGGAGCACCTGCCTAAGTAGTTTGATTCCATAGGTCTGTAGGGCCGCCCAGAGGCCCCCCCCCCCCCCCCCCCGAAAGCTACCCAGGTGATATCTGATGCAGTTTAAATTAAGGGTTGCTGAAACTAGCCTGGGAATAAGTCAGATTACTTCCACTTTGGTGAATTCACACAGCAGAGGAAGTGCTCCAGAGGAATTAATAGACAAGCTGATGGGTGTGAAGGTGTACCTGAGTGACAGTAGATGTGAAGAGGATTACTGAAATACACAGGATGGTTCAGGTATGGCCTACTGCTGGCCTTAAAAGCTTAGGGCTCCTAAAGTGAGTTATCCAATGCTGAAACAAAAAGAGTGTTAACCACAGAACAGGTAAAGGCAAGGAATTCGGCAAGAACCTATACCTCTTATTAACTGGTCAAGTGGGAAGAAATTTGTGAGTAGAAAATGCAACAGAATTTGAGCAACAAAGTCACTCATCTGAGAAGTTTTAACTGAACACATACCATATGCAACTAAGATGCCCATGGGAAAGAGGGTAGGGTTACATGTCAGACTCAGATTTTAACAGAATCCGTACACTTTCAACCCATTTTTTTTTTAAGTCAGTTTTTTTTTTTTATTAATTTTTGTTACAGATGTTTCTCCTTTTCCCCCACTGATTCCCCCCCTCCCCCTCCCTCCCCGCCCTGTCCCCAGCTTTGTTGTCCATGTCCATTGTTCATGCATACATGCATATAAGTTCTGTGGTTTATCTCTCCCCCACCACCCCCTCTTCTGGGGATTGTCAGTCTGTACCCCACTTCCACATCTCTGGGACTACCCCATTCCTCAGACTGTTATGTTCATTATATTCCACAAATAAGTGAGATCATATAATACTTGTCCTTTTCTGTTTGGCTTGTTTCACTTAGGATGATACTTTCCAGGTCCCTCCATGTCGTCTCAAAGGATAAGAGATCTTTCTTACAGCTATGCAGTACTCCATTGTGTATATATACCACAACTTTTTTTATCCATTCGTCTACTGATGGACACTTGGGCTGTTTCCAGATCTTTGCTATTGTAAATAGTGCTGCTACAAACATGGGGGTACATATATTCTTTCTGATTGTCAACCCACTTTTTTAAACGACATTGAACAGAAAGCCAATTTATTAATCTAAAATTAGAAATATATTTAATGGGTAGGTCCACTAAGGAGATGAAAATACAGTTCTATAATCAGGCTGCCAGCTATGTCCAAGAGATATTTCCAGTAAGCCTGAGAAATAATCTAGGAACATTTCTAACTAAACCAAATCTTTTTGTCTTGACTTGGAAATACTCTTACCTGGAAGAGTATTGGCTTACTTAAGTTTCTGGTAACAAAGTAAAAAAAATCCATTTAAATTAACTTAACCAAAAATGGTGTCAGAGGGAAAGAACTTAGAAGGATATTGGGGTACCTCGGAGAAAAGATAAACAGGCCTCCAAAAGGTCAAACACTAGATTTGTCCTAGAGACTTCACTATGAAGCTCTGCAGTTAGATTCTGAGCAATTTCTTCAGCCAACTTCTCAAGATAAACATTGGTTTATAATGGGTGCAGATCTTTAATACAGCCACATGGACATGGCTGCCAGGATCCACCCTAGGGGGTGGGAGAACAGTTCTCAGAGGAGGAGTGGAAGAGTCATGGGCTGCAAATTGGGTCACCATCTGTCGTAGTTTTAGCACTGAAAGTGCGTCCTGGGAAACCCCTCGGTCCAACCAAACTGGGGTGGTTGGTCACCCTAGTTAGGAAGGCATGCAAAAAAGAGTGTCTAATAAAATAGCCTGGGATACCGATAAACTCATTATTTTTTTATTTCCTTTTTTTTTTTTATCCTCACCTGAGGATACAATTTTTGCATTTATCTTCAGATAGAGCGGGAAGGAGAGAAGGGGGAAGAGAGAGAGAAACATCGACATGAGAGAGACACATCGAGTGGTTGCCACCCACACGACCCCAACTGGGGGGCGGGGGACAAACTGCAACTGAGATATGTGCCCTTAGTGGGAACCGAACCCAGGACTCTCTGGTCCACAGGCCAACACTCTAACCGCTGGGCCAAAGTGGCCAGGGCTGGATTTTCTTTTTCTATATGTCCAGGTAGAACACTAGTCTTCTTTTGTGACTTTGCCCCAACTCCACAGATTATAGCTTCCTCAAATCATAATTTTTCTGTTTCCCCCCAACAGAGTTGTAAGCTTTGTAAAAGCAGGCATCTGTCTTTTTATTAATTTATCCTCAACAGTCGTAACAGTCTCTAGCAATTAGTGCATAAATACTGAATGTAATTTGTTGAGTGAATAAATATCCCCTTCATTTCATATAACATAGTTGAGATGAAGCTCAAAATTTTAAGCAAGAATTTACTGAATGCTTACAAAATAAATACAGCAAATACCATGACATTAAACACTGACTTAAGAGATAATTTATTTCTCTTCAACCAGAAGCCTACCTATAAGAGAAAGGCTTTCTTGCCCAGCTTATGATCTGCCTCCAGGTGGCAGAAGCATCTTTAACCTCTACCGCATGTGATTTTATAGTTGTGAAATCCTAGCCAGATTTGGTTGTCCTCTACATATTATGAGGAAAAACACTGGCCCAGCAAGTCTGGTTGCTTACTACTTCTGTCTTCAAGGGAACCATGAGTGAACCTTAGCCAACTCCTGGGAATGTGGCCTTCAGAAGGTTTTTTATGTTAGTAATTGATGATTTTGTTATATACACCTGAAGCAATGGACCATGCTAGACTGGCTTTGAGCTTGCTTTACACAAACACCAAGATTAATGATGTGTACCTGGTTTCATTGTTGGGGTCCTTGTTTTTTGGTTGCTAAGGCTGGTTGCAAAGCAGAAGGTGTCTACGTGACTGATCCCACTAAAACCCTTGGACCTTGAAACTCATTTGGGCTTCCCTGGGCAGACATTTCACACACATCCCGTAGTTCACAGCTAGAAAAAGAGCATGCCTTTGTGGCCTCAGACAAGGAAGCTCTCTTAGAACCCAGTGCTGGACCTGTCTAGATTCCACCGTTGCATCTTTTTCCTGTTGCTTTTGCTCTGTATCATTTGCTGTAATAAATTTTAGCAGCAAGTATTACCTGCTATTGAGTGTTGAAAGTCCTTCTGGTGAATAACCAAATAAAACATGTAATTTTTTTGTTTTTCTTTACGCCATCAGTTTGCAAACCTGTGGATTACCTCTTGCTTTCACCAGGATGAATCTACTCACAACTATGCCCTTAAGGCATTATTGAGCAAGTTTTACTCAATAGTGTCTTGGGTGTAGGGTGTTGGGAGGGTTAAAAAGCAAAGAGAATTTTTTATATTGCACATCCCACTATGTTCAACTTCATAAAATCCCATTGGACATGTTCCTTCTTCCAAGTCTCTCTGGCTGGGCTGTGAACTAAAGATTCTCTCTGTCCACCCTTTCTCCCATACTATCCCCTATCCTTGTGATTAGTTCAACTCTGTCCTCAATCTGCCTATCCTTCTTAGGTAAAAAATGTTTTCAAGTCATCAGGACTCACTTTCCTGAGATGGCATTTTACTGGCCATTTATTTTCATTTCATTGTTGCTTTTGAAGATCTCACTTCTACCCTTCCAAAAGGACTTATCTTAGTATTTTCTCTTTCTTTCTCTCTCTCTTTCTTTCTTTCTTTCTTTCTCTCTCTCTCTTTCTTTCTTTCTTTCTTTCTTTCTTTCTTTCTTTCTTTCTTTCTTTCTTTCTTTCTTCTTTTTCTTTTTATCACAAATAGGATTTTTTATTCTTTGTCACCATTAAATGTCTGAATTTTAAAGATTCTTGGACTGGGGGTTCATATCCATCAGCTTGTTCCACTTTAGCACCTGTCTCATCCCCAGTAGCTTTTCCAGAACTGCTACCTTCACCATGAAGCTCCATGAGTTTTCCCAATTCAAACTTGGGCTTCTTCAGCATTTTGACTTTTCTAAAAAAGACGTCATGGAGCAGATAAATAGATTGGCAAGCCTTTTCTATGTCTTTTCCAATGCTATCTGGAATCAATATATTGACCACTTCTTTCAAGTCATTTGTCTGCACCTCTCGGGTCATGATTTCCATCATCTTCTTCTGGATTTGGTGGACCTGTTGATGCTGAGCATAAGAGGTCTTCTGAATCTGATTGTAGCATTTTTTAGTAAAACCAACACAGAATAGATGAAGCAAATAACCATTGGTAGTCTTGACATCAACATGAGCTTCAATCGTCGTCTGCCATTTTTTTGACCATGGAGCACGTCTTGTCACGGGTAAGATCCATGCCATGGAAATTAGTCAGGCAGTTTTTACCCTGAACATCTTCAGTAATTAGCTTGAATTTTCTAAATGCAACTTCATCATTCTGCAGATCAGCTAGGCTCACTTCAAAAACATGACCCTTGAGACCATCGGATGCGATTTTGGTTCCTTGAGTTTTCCTGACCAGTGTTTTTCCAATATTTCTTATATTGAACATAGTTGGTGCTTTCACATCATACCAATTTTTCTTAGAAAATGGATCAACTACTTTCTTCTTGGCTCCCTTTTTGCCGCCTTTTGTAAGGCACTTGTTCTTGCCCACTGCCATGGTGCTGCAGAGAGAACCAAAAGGCAGTATTCTTTTTTTTTTTAATTTTTTTTTTTTATTATTGATTTTAGAGAGAGAGAGAAACATCGATGAGAGAGAACATCGACTGGCCTCCTTCTGCACAACCCCCACTAGGGATTTGGCTCACAACTTGGACATGTGCCCTGACTGGGAATTGAACCAATGACCTCTTGGTGCATAAGTTGATGCTCAATCACTGAGCCACACCGGCTGGGCTTAGTATTCTTTCTAACCACTTACAGTGCGTTCCCTGAAAGGAGTTCTGGTAAGTTCAACTTCTTCATCTGATTATATTAAAAATATCTGATGTGGAGCCCAGTCCATACAGGAGAAAAAAACAGAGTTGTGCTGGTTGAAACATTCAGGGGTGAGATCTAGAGCTTAAGGGCTGATCCTCACAACCTCTTTCCACCTGCTTCATCTCTCCACAATGGCCACGAGACGCTGCCTTAAACCAGGGCTCTCTGCAACATGGCTTGAAAAAGATGGCTCTTAATTCTTTCAGGACATAAAGACCCCAAGGTAACAACAATCCTGCCAACCTGAAGCTCAGCTACTGAGTTGTCATTTTCTGAAAACAGCCTTATTGGCAGGACGGTGGTCTCAGCCTCCTCTCTACAACCCAATCGCCTTTACGTCAGGACAACCCAATAACCAAAAGATTGACACTCAAGTCACGTAGAGGTCAAGTCTCCTTGACTGTGAGGGTATTGCTAAGGAGATACTCGAGTTCTTCCAGGTATCTCTGAGGTGGAATAAGTAAAGAAATCAAAGTGGAAAATAGACACTGATATAAAAAAATTCATTTCCTGTCCCCTCATCAACAATGATGCCATTGCTAAGAATTGCCTTAGGTTTTGCAGAAAGCATAGTCTTATAAATAGGTAGGGGAATAAACCATTTTAGATCTAGTTCTGAGGTATTTAATTTTAAAAGAACAAGTGATCATAAATCAATCCACTGAATCATGTTTCTTGGGGAATTGGGGAATTATTCGTAGGTCCTCACTGTATAACTTTAAACTTCCAAAGCTACATACATTCTTACTGAAAATTTGGTAAAATCACACATCAATAGAATTTTTAAAAGTGAGGTATCTGGTCATTAGGCAATAAAAGGAACCAAATAATATTAAGATGCCTATTTCAAGGATGCAGCTTCAGCATCCAACTGTGTATTTTTCTGGAGGGGAAAAGCATCCCTTAAGTTTTGGTAAATGATGGATTTTCTTCCAGTATCTCCAATCTACTGTAGCCTATCATGGAATCATGTGTACCAAGCCAAAAATAAGCTATATTTCTTTTTTATTTTCTTTTGTTTTCTTTGTATTTCCCCTTGAAAGAGACTGAGAGTCTCAAGAGATGTGGAACTTATGGTTCACAACACTTCTGCTCCAGATAGAGAGGCTGTATTTTTAAGCCAATCCCTAAATAAAAAGAACCAAAAAAGGAAATATGTGGAGTATAAAACTCTCTCCTCAAAATGCATGAGAGCCTCATAAATTTGAAAACATTTTTCTCTCATAAATTGCTCCAAAAATAAATGTTCAGTAGTTACCACCTGTATTAGAGGCAAATAAGAGAACATTCCTTCTTGTTTTTGGAGGAGAGGCTGGTAAATTGTATTTTAAAGAAGAATTCTTTCTTCTTAAAACACACACACACACACACACACACACACACACACACACGAGACGGGCCAGTAAGCCAGGACAAGTGGAACAGGAAAACTGGGACAGATAGTTAAATGGCCAAGCAGTTTACTGCTATCTAATAAATCACAAAATCCTAACTTCTGTAACCAAGGACACTTAAAAGAGTAAATGGTTTACACTTCTCCTCCCCAACCAGAGGGTAAATAACTTAAATCACCCTACTCAGGAAGACTGACAGCAGAAATCAAATTAGTACTATTTGTACCAACCACACCCAAATAAATCTTATTTTGGTTCATCAGCATAAAGCTGACAAATATTCTATTGAGATCCTCCCTAAAACTTCCCCTAAACTCCCAGGCTTTAAAATGCTCAAGAAGAAGGACCCGGGGTGCTCTTCAACCCAAGAGCATGCTCACACTGTTCTTCCTTCTCAGGCCAGTATCTCCTAAACTTTAAGGGTCCCCATGACACTTGCAATTAGGGGAGCAATGGGCAGCAGCAGCTCATCCTGGCCTAACCCCTTGAACCTGTTCCAAGTCCCCCTTTTCTCTGACTTTCCAGTGAACCAAAGCAGGGGGGTTTTCTTGTTGCTTATTCTATCCTAGGTCCGTCCTTGTTTCTGTCCCCAGCTTTAATGAACATACTCTCAAAATCACCTGGACTCGTTTTGTGAGCTGTTTCCTACACAAAGTCAAGAACCCACACACTACCAGCCGGCCCAACCCTAGGCAGACCCACTCTGGGCCCAGTCTCCTTCCAGTAACACAAGAAAACAATAATCCATTTAAAAATCTAGCACAGATTTTACTACAATATTTGTTGAAGAGGAGTTAATAATCAACAGTACCAGTAATTGCTCCACACTGGTGGTTACTATGCCACACTGTTATGGAAAGCTGGTATGGGGGGGGGAAGCATGACCTTGTAGTTGTGCAGAGGTAAGTTCAAGTTCTGGTTTGCCACTATAGTCTTCAGACACTTAACGATGGGAAATACATTGTTAGGCAGTTTAGTGGCCATGTGAACATCACAGAGTACACTTATACAGACCTAGATAACATAGTCTGCTACACACCCAAGCTATATGATAGAGCTGATTGCTACTCAGGGGAGGAAAAATAATTTCCCCTCTACCTTTATGGATTCTCGACTAAAACATTCCTGTAATAAAAAACAGATTAACAGGAGAAAAACAAACAAAAGTTTAATAGCATGTATATCTTCTATATACACGGGAGCAACCCAGGAAAACTGAGTAACTCACAAAAATGGCTGAAGCCACCACTGTAAAGACCATCCGCATTGAAGACATAAAAAGATGGTGGGGGTGCAGGGGAGTCAGTAATGGGAGGTTATCAAGAAAAGCCCACATAAGGTTGTTATTCAGATTTAAGTCATTGTCTTCTGCACTGATAAGAGTTTCTGGAGCCCAGTGGTGTGGCTCAGTGGATTAAGCGTCATCTCATGGACTGAGAGGTCTGGGTTTGATTCCTGGTCAGGGCACATGCCCGGGTTTCGGGCTCAATCCCCAGTAGAGGCATGCAGGAGGCAGCTTATCAATGTTTCTCTCTCACATGGATGTTTCTATCTCTCTCTCCAAAAAAAAAAAAAAAAAATCAATAAAAACATATTTAAAAAAAAAAAAAAAAAGAGTTTCTAGGGATAAAGTTATCTCCCTCTTCCTGGTACAGGTAGGGAGACAACCTACAGATGGAGATGTCCCTTACAAATGCAAACGTCTCTCACAAAGGGTAACTTCTACTTGGTTTTCAGATCATCTTCCATGTCTGCTGTTTCTTTTTTTTATTTTTTAATATATTTTTATTGATTTTAGAGAGAGAAAGGAAGGGAGAGGAAGAGAGAGAACCATCAATTGGCTGCTTCCTGCACGCCCCCTACTCAGTATCAAGCCCGCAACCCAGGCACATGCCCTGACTGGGACTCGAACCAGCCACCTCTGGGTGCATGGGACAATGCTCAACCAACTGAGCCACATCAACCAGGGTGTCTGCTGTTTCTTAAAATTAACCAACCTACAATAATGCTTATGCCAGATAGACATATTTTGGGTCGACAAATTCTGTTCCCCTATAACTCCTAGAAACAAACATGCATGGCATGTTTCTGTATTGAATACTCTAGGCAACTGTTATGTCACCAACCCCTGCAGGTCAGAGACCCCAAATCATGGTTCTTTTAGCAATAGGATGTCGTGCCTATCAATAGGATGGGACAGTATTTGAAAAAGCAAGTCAGAAACTACATTCCTTGGCCAAGAAATGGAGGATAATCAAGTGCCTAATGATTCCTTCTCCCTGATTCTGTGGAATTAGTAAAGTATTACTGTACACGGACTGGGCTCAGCATGGGTCTGCCCCACTGTGTGGGTTCTTTCTGCAGGAAAGATTTCACAATATGAGTCTAAGTGATTATCAGAGTACATTCATTAAAGCTGGAGACAGTGAAACGAAACAACAGGTCCAAGCCTAGGCAGGGGTGCTTTGGCTCTTTAGAAATATTATAGAAAAGAACTGGGCCATGCTGGGCTGCGTGAACTCACCAAGAAGTAAAAGTCAGTGACAGAAATGAACCGAGGTGGGGCTGCTATTAGCTCACTGGAAGTCAGAGAAAAAAGGGAGCCTGAGAGACAGGTTCAGGGGGTTAGCCCAGGACGAGCTGCTGCTGCCTGCTGCTCCCCTGGTTGCAAGTCTTGGGGAACCCTGATTGTTTAGGAGAAACAGAGCAGAGGTACATAGCATGGGCACACTCTAGCTAGAGCGCACACAGGGTCCTTTGTCTTGAGGCTTTTTATCTTTCTTCAGCTGGCAGGAATCCTAAGGGAGGTCTTAGGGAAGGGTCTTATATTCATTAACTTTCCAGGTGCACCCTTTTTCCTGGGACAAGGGGATCTCCACACTGGACCCAGTCCCGATGGATGGCGGGCACACCACACCAGGAGAGGCGTGTGTGAGCGAAGGCCCACTGTCGGGCATGGTGGTGGACCAGTTATCCGAGGCCAACCGGCTCCACAGTGCTGTTCTATCATTCTGCCTGAGCAGGATTCTGACTGAGAGACGTTTAGTTATAATCCCACAGATGGTAGCTTTGTCTCATTGGCTCCGCAGCCAAGCATATACATCGAATGTCTGAGAAATGTAATATGTTTTAAAAGAATATGTAATCAATAAATATTGATTTCTTCTATTTACCCTTTTTCTAACTTGCTTGATAAGACAAGGTGCCTACACCATCCCACAACACCCTAAACTTGCCAAGGTCCCCCAGCCCAGCCTGCAAAGAAGACAGGTGCCTCCATCCCAAT